ATTTACGGATTTATCAGGCTTGCATTATAATGCAAATAAATGCTATTCATAGGAATTAAAACAACCACTAACGGCTGGCGCTTTGTTGGACCCCAAACGCGAAACTGAGGAGATACTTAATTCTATATTGCCCCCGCGCTGCTGGGAGGAGGATGGGCAGTTATGGCAACAAACGGTAGGTGGAATATGTACTGAAACTTACATCAACTATAGAGTTGGGATACTGTTAAAATAGAGCTCAGGTCACTCTATACATAACTGACGTTTATGGAGTATAAGGTTAAGGAGTTAGAATGGTATAATGGTTTTTAGTTTCGCACAAAAGATGATCAAGGCTTGTTGTTGGTAACACTCCCAGTTAAGCTATCGGCACTGGTATTGGTTTTAAAAAGTGTGGAAGATTTTTATGAACTAAGGAGCATAACAACATGCAATTTTTGCAACATGTAAGCAATTTCTCGCATGGAGACTGCCGTTGTTGTGATGTAGGACGAGCTACCTTCACAGAAACCATCTCTTTAAAATAAGAAAATCATACACCAAGCGGTGTTCCTACAATAGTCTATTGCAAGTTGCAGCAGCGACCTGGATTTATTACCGACTCAGGAGGGAATGTTTTGCGCTGTTACACAACAAACCCAATCTTTACAATTTCGCGCCGCCTGAAAAACATAATCGGAGGCCGAGCTCTAATCATCGCAGAGGATAACTCGAGTTGCCTCGTGAGATCCGCATAACACTGGCACAATTATGCCCTGAACATTCTACCAGTTAAATTCTGCATATCAAAAATAGGTCTATAGTCTTGCACGATAGTAACAAACCCTTCGATGTCAACACTTATTCGAACACCAGACCGAGTAGAGTTCAGTAAAACTGATGCAATAAAAACAATACCAGTTTCCTTTGGCCAGTAAAATGATGCCTGTTTGGAAAGACTGGCAGTTTAGACCAGACCAACGTTTATATAGTCAGTTCAATGCTGGGTGGTAAAGAAATAAAAACATTTTATACGAATCTACGTGAAGTCTTAAAATACTGAGTGGAGTAAATAGAGGAATCGGTGTAAATATTAACTCACACAATCAGGTTGCACGTAAAGCACTTAAGTTGACTATACTTGAACTGAATGTCTCAAATTACTCAACACAATGGTTAGACAATTCAGTGTAAAACTTACATATATGGATGTCGGTTCACAGAAGTATTGAAGGAAATCGCGGAGCGTATTTAGGCACAGTTAGGTATTGGTTTAACGAATTTAAACGTGGGCGAACATCCGTTTTTGATGAGGAGTGACCAGGCCGCTCGGCAGACGTGGTTACCGAGGAAATCATTCAAAAAGTCCACGACATGATTCTCACTGGTCGAATAACAAAAGTACGCGAAGTAACAGAGGCCATAGGTGTGTCGACCGAAACGGCAATTACTATTTTACATGATAAGTTGGTGATGAAAAAATTGTCGGCCCGATAGGAGCCGCGATTGCTCATGATGAACAACAACGAATTTTCGCCCTTGATGAAGCCTGGATTCATCATTACATACCAGAAACTAAAAACCGCTCAAAAAAATGGATTTCTTCCGGTGAATGTGCTCCAAAGAAAGCGAAGACAGTTCCATCGGTCGGAAAGGTCATGGCAACGATTTTTTGGACGACTACTGGACGACTACAGTGAATTATTGGACCACTTTCACAAAATATTGAAAGAGACGCGGCTGCATTTGGCGAAAAAGAAGGTGCTGTTTCACCACGATAACGCACGAGCACTTTCATCCGGAGTTGTCCCCGCCAAACTGCATGAATTGCTGCGACACCCCCCGTACTCATCCAATCTGGCTTCCTGCGACTTTTTCTTGTTCCCTAACATGAAGAAATGGTTCGCGTGCAAAACAATTTGGTTCAAACGAGGAAGTCATCACCGAGACAGAGGCATATATTGGAGAGTTCGACAAATCCTATTTTTGTGGAGGGGTTAAAAAAATGGGCGAAGCGTAGGGAGAAGTGTACTTATCTTTCTAAAAGGGGACCATGTTGAAAAAAAAAATTTATTGAATATGATCGAAAAAAAAGGTTAGGAGGACGACTATTTTCTGTGTGATTCCA